GTACTCCACGCGTCTAATCATATTTATCCACGAACGAATAATTCAATGTAATCGGATAAACGAGTTCTCCGCTTGTGCACTGAGAGCAAGCTTGAGAAAAGATCAAGTTAAACGGAGAGAAACGGGCATTACATTGCAACCTCCGACCCAGATAAAGAATGCTATGGTGCACTCGTTGCAGGTGAATGCACTCGGCATGTAGAAGACCAATCTTGGTCGCGATTATTTGGAAAAGGTCGTGAATACTCGCGGAAAAATATTTAAAACACATCTTATGATGACTATTAATGGCACATTAGAATCTTTCATTATTCGATATTATTTAATTTTATTTTTAATATCTAATTATCCGTACATATAACCTAAAATTGCAAATTTCATTTTACGTATATGTAATGTATTTTGTCAGAAATTTTAATGAAACGAATGTGAATTAATATACAGTCAATCCCGTTATTTTATAGGTATACAAATACGATTGCATGAAATCTAATTGATCTCGTTTAAAATACCTGTTATTCAAGTAACTTGTATGCAATGTCTATTAATATGTTTATTTTATTTTCTAGCAATACTTGTTTAAATAGATAGATTAAACAAATTAAAAGAATAGTTATTTATATTAGTGTATAATACTGATATTCACAATGGAATAAGATAATTCACAAGAAATGATGCAGCAAGATACATTGAACTAAACGTGTAACAGGTATGCGAAGGCGGTTTTTCCGCGAGTATGGAGGGGAGAAGCACAGTCAAGGCAAAAGTAGGGTAAATGTATCCACGTAGGCAAACGACTCTCCTTTGAAGATCAATCAGAGCGAACTAAAAATTTTACAAATAGAATTCTTCGGATTCGTGCAATTTAGAAAGGATTTGTGAATGATACTATACATCAATAATACATGAATAATTCAACTGTTTCATTTTACGCGCACAAATATTATACAGATAAATATAAATCGAATTCTAGTATAACAGTTTTTAAAAATACCTATATTTTTATAATTTTACAAAAAAAATATCGTTTTTATGTTAAAAAATTAATTCTTTAATTGCTTGAAGTAATTTTAAAAATAAAATCTTTATAAAAATTACTATTATTATGATCCAATCAAAAGTGTCTACACTATAAAATATAGTATAATAAAAATCCCTAAAAGAGAAAAATTTAAAAATTCCCGCAATCACTTGAATATGTCGGATCATAATTCAATTTGCTTATTAAACTCGAGAATATTCGAAATGGAAGAACGGATAAGATCAAAATATAGCAGAATAACTCTGTTTATCTCTTTGCTAAAAACTGAAACACGAAAATATACGATCAACCGTGTTCGGTCGTTTAAGGTCAACGCACGACGAACGCGAAGCAACCAAACGTATTTGTACGACGCACACGACAAGGTATATGGCGAACGTTAGGGATTCGCGACATTCCCGTGGCTGTCACGCTTGTCAATCGTCGCGAACCGTTCTGCTAGCGGTTTCGATTATATTATAGTACAAAACGAATGTAATGAAATGCTTGTACTCACCGAGAATCGCCTGGAGGGTTTGCTCGTCCCCGTCCCCGATGACATCCATACCTCCGTTGATAATCGGACCCCTGAGATCTTCCGGGCCCGATCAACGGGCCCCATTTTGTCTCCAGGCTAGAATGTCACTCGACGCGACGTCCCACATAGTACGCGACGTTTAATGTAACTCTCTTCCGTTTCCCTCTCTCTCTCTTTCTCTTTCTGTCTCTTCACGATTTCACGGTGCACTTTCTGTCTTTTTTAACCGTGTTTTTCTTTTGAAATTCCACCGAACGAGATAAGTTCACAAACAATACTTTTTCTGTGTCGTCACTGTATGTTTTCTTATACCTTCGAGTGCAGCGACACGATCTACGAATGATCACCGTCGAGAATCGGCACGATGAACGGCAACAATGAGAACATTGCAAAGAAAAAAAGATTATCCGTTCCGTATCCAAAAGAAATAAACGCACCACTTAAATGAACTTATATATCGTCTTTGTATGTTTTTCTTCTACTTATTAAAACGATTTCTACGTTATTTCACTGTTGGCTCGTACACCCAGGAGCCGTGTCGAATCCCGAGGCGCGGACTAAACTTGAGTTCCGTCCGCCGACACTACACGCGCACGAATCGTAATACATGCAAACACGCCCCGTGTATGTCGCGCCGAGAACAAGTTGATCACGTGACGCACATCAGTCTTCTCCGGACGAAGTTTGAAAGAAGCGCGCATTGACAATCTCTCGTGAAAATATGTTGTGATTTTATAAAGACATATTTGTGCAATTTTCCATTGTGATAATTGATGACTGTTTATAGTATCATTACAGTTTGTGTTTATCAAAACGTTATGATGACTACGAAACTTTTAAAGCGTAAGTGAAATCTTGAATATCATCGTCAAAGTAATTTCAAGATGGCGACACCGAACTGCATTTTGCGCGGTAAAACGAAATCAATGGACATAGCAGATCGGAATTCTTATTTCGAAAATGGTATGAATATTCTACATGAAATGGAAGTGTTTTTCAGTTGCGTCTTCAGTTGTACGAATTTTGAGAAATGTAAGTTATTAATATTTCTTTCCTTAATATTTTTCGTATTTAGATATATTTAGATAAATAATTGATGTTTAAGATACATAATTTCTTCATTAATACACAATTATACTGGGATTGCTAGAATGAAAAAAAAATTTCATCAATTATAAAAATAGAATTTTATTCTTAATAAATAATAATTAATACTATTTCTTAAATTATAATATAGATCGTAACATATTCGTATATACATTTCATATCTTATAATCTATAAAATATTAAGCAGATAATATATAAGGAGGATTACAATTTTTTATGATACATATACACTATATAAATTTTTTTTATAGTACATAATGCATACGTTTAATAATATTTTCTATACGAATTTATGTTTGAAAGAATTGAATATTTTAATCAAAATGGCGGATTAATAATTCAAATTTAACGGTTAGTTTTTATTTTTAAAAATAAAAAAACAAATTTATAAAATATACAAATTTTAATAAATAAAAAACAAAATCATGTTTTACAAAATTATTATAAATAATAATTTTTCACAAAGGAAATTTAATAAACGTAATCGCGATAGTACTCCACTTCCTAAAAAAGTACACGTAAACATTGCATGGGTACTATAAACATTTATTACGTCACATAAGTACAATTGAACACCAAAGGGTTTCTAAATAATTATTATTGTTATTGTTACGTTATTAATACGTTTACATTAAAGTTGCTTAAGGCTTTTATACTCATAAATAATATACTCTCAATTTGCACTTACACAAATACATAATCTCTTAAATATATTTTGCTCTCTGTACAACATATGTACAAGTATATATATATATATATATATTATATATTATATATGTATACATATCACAATCTTTCGCTCAAAAATACACGTTCACACTGTTCGCTTACAAGACTGAAGAATTCTAAAACATTATATCAATAATTTGAATGGTGATGTTATAACACGTTCGATGAACAAATTGATTATGTTTTTGAAATAACATGAAACTAAATTTTCAATTACAACATATCCACAAATTGTGAAAATTATTCAAAACAATCTGAAATCGAAATACATAACCTAATGGAATAATAATGGAATTCAGTGAGAATTAATTATAAAAAAAATAAATCAAACTTTCATAATTTCAATTATTAATCATAAATCTTATAAAGTCTGCAATATATCTCATTATAGTATATAATATTAATGAATATTAATAACTTTGGTATTATTATGTCAAAATTGAATTATAATAATTCTATGCAGAGAATTGAACATTGTTGTTCAAACTATTGCCATTTTTGTTAATAAATTCATATCAAATTCTAAAAGCTCATAAATCACACTTATTGTCAATTATAGATGAATATTTAACCAAAAAAATTGATCATTATCAAAAAAAAAAAAGAAAACAATCAAAAATTCTTTTGAATCATCATTAATTCAAGGCATTATATTGGAATTTTATTAAATATTAATTCATACTCAAAGCACAGTAAAGAAAATAAATAATCATAGCTTTGTATATACATAATACTTGGAAAGAATGCTATAACAACTTTATTTTTGCTATATAATGAATAGTTTGCTTTAAAGCTTAACAAACTCATTCTACAATTTATCTTTTTTCTTGTTTTTTTTTCAAGTAAGACTATATTTTTTACAATCTTATAACATCATAAATTTTGCTTTGTATCAGAGAAGCATAATATTTCTAATTAAATTTATAACTTATAATATATAATAAACGTATTGTACTACCTGCATTCAGTCTTTATTGATAAATTAATTAAAAATCATGGAAAAAATCATTGTGTGTACATTTTACTGTAAAATTAACTAGGAACTACAAATAGGATAAAAATTTTTTAATTAAACTAGGTCCCAATTTTATAATTATTTGCCCTTCTGTGTATTTAAGATTTTATTTTGAAATAATTATAACTATTAATGTTATTATTTTTGTAATTGTATAGTAGACAGCAACATTAGTTTTGTAATAGTTTACTGTACTGGAAAGCTAAGTAAGAACTGCTCATAATGTAGAAAGAATAGGACTCTGAGAATATCATAGATGCAAATGTTTATAACTAACAAATCTAATTTATAACACACAGAGAATGCATAAAAATCTGAATCAATACTTTGACAAACCCTGATATCTC